CCAAATGGTCACCGATTCTCTTGATCCCCCTATGTCGTCCTGAAATCGTTTGATTATCATCAAGATTTTACGAAATCGTTTGAAAAATCGCATCACGTCTCATCTGTTTTATTCAATGGCCGTCTGATCGTTCTTTGCCTCGTCTAGTTAGCCTATTATCGACTCTCATTTATGCCTCGAATCGTAGAATGGAATAGAATTTCAGCATGCCTCATCTTATCTCGTTCTCGATTCTTCAAATTTTTCCTTCAGCATTCTTCGCCTTTGCTTAGTAAGCATGAGAAATTAAGGTGAACAATTTCAAAAGATTCAAGCCAGATATTGCACCTTCTCAATTGATCATGTTGTGCCATTGCTTGTTTCATCAGTGCGTTCTTTTGCAGACGCCTAAGGAAAAAAGTAAAGAGCTACAGAAGCTACAAGGAAAAAATACATCTGCGCTATTGATGTCAAATTTCATGAGCGAATATGTCAACTGGGATCAGTTTCTTTATGATTTACCATTGATGGTCACTGAACTCGGTAAACTGATGTTGTTTTCGAATAAACGCGATTTCACACTGTTTAGAGAGGGTGTACAGTATGAATACATCAAATCACCAGATTCGTTCAGAGCCACACTTGTTCAGGTTTGTTGCTTGAAGTTTTTAAGCTGAAGCTTCAAATAAGAACTGAATGAAATCTATTCGGATCGATGAATTAATCGATGCCAACAGCTGTACGCATCATATCAGATTCATCTGTGACATTGATAACTGTATATTTAAGCTGAATTTTGTTGCACTGATTGCTTTAACAATACAGGTATGCTCCTTAGAGAAAATTTCATTTGCTAAACATGCGACACATTCTTCCAGAAAAAAAACTTAACGACTGTTTGTTCTGTACCGGTGAAATTTCAGCTCGGACACTCCGAGTGGACTGCACTCTACGCTGCACATAAGAATATGGATACAATAAGATTAAACACATTATCTGTTCCGGGCATATTCCGGCTCATCTTCAAGATCCTCCATCAAGAGGTTTAACGCTCGTAGATTCTTTCCAAAGTTTTCTCCACAAAGCAATTCATTGTAGCAGTGGTTTGTCTAATCGTAAGGGAGTTCGTAGGCACACAACGGACTAAATGCTAATTTTAAGTGGTTTATTTCAGAAATCAGTGAAGAATCAAAACCTTTTGCGCGCTCAGTTAGATCGAATTAAGCATTTCGCTGAAGAGAACCGTAAAGTTTGTGAGGATTCGATTGACAAAATCAACGCTACAATCAACCTCATCAATGAAATACAGGTTCTTTGATGATTCACTTTCGCACCCACTTTAACCTCAGTCTAGATTATCAAACCCGTAACGTTCACTAAACGAAATCCTCCCATAGAGGGACTAATCATCATTGATGTGATGTATTTGATTTGTATTCAAGTGAAATTTGCGATACTGCAAATGCAAACTCTAGTCAATGATCCAATTCGAATGTTCCTATTTCAGATTGCAACGCTTTCTGCTCAATCAGATCAAAAAGATAGGCTGAATTTGTTGCTGAAGCAAAAAGCTGAATATGAAGCAAAAAGGAATAACACAGAAGGAATGTTAGGCGTGATCAATAATGATCTGCAAAACCAACTCGCTAACGTCAAGAAATTGGAGAGAGACTATGAAGAGGTCTGTAAATGATTTTTAATAGTTTTCAATTGTTTGTTCCATGCTAACAGCATTAACACATACATCGAACCGTGACACATATGCACATCAAATTGTTGACTGCAGCTTGAGCCTTTGTCAATCCCATTATTCCTTGGTAGGATCGGATAAGGGGATTTTCTTTTTGTTCTATCAAAAATCGACGTGCTTTTAGCTTGAAAAACATGTGAATGTTTTATCACAATACAACTGGAATCGAACAATTTTGAAGGAGCAAAAGAACAGTTTGAAGCCAGAAGCAACTGCAGTAGCAAGGAAACGAAACAATGAGACTGGCTAGGATAATGAACATAACAAAACGGAACAGCAACAGAGAGGCATTCACAAAAACAATAGAACTGAGTAATCCGAGGAAAATAAAAGGCGAGCATTTCAACAGAGCACTTTGAGGTTAACAAAGAAAGACGGAAAAATTCCCAGTTGCAAACAGTGAGTACGATAACATTTTGAATGCAGCTATCGAATCTGAACTTGATATCAAAGTGACTGAAATTTGACGTTAGTGAATGAATCTCACAAGAAGCATTACAGGCCAAGAGAAGATCTGAAGTTAATTTCGGCGAGGTGTTTGGTTCGGCTGTGGTTGATATTCTGAAGTTTGCTCCGACACTAATTTCAACAGTGATGGCACCAATGGGTATGCCACCATCGCCACAGCCAGAGCAACTACGTGTTCAGAAGAAGCCGAAGCAGGCAGAGGAGAATGAGGAAATCTTAGAAGTGAATGTAAGATAGAGTTTCAATTCTGATTTGTTTCCATATTGTTCATTAACATACCGCTTTGAACTG